TCTATATCTTCGAGTTTTTGTGACATTAGACATAAATCATCCACATGCGAAATCCAAATCTTCTAGATGAAGTCTTCTTATCGATGGCCCAGCATATTCCTGTCTCCTCGCTCCCAACACAGTCTGACGCATAATCCAGTCCACCACAATTAAGAATATCATTGTTGGTGATAATAGGCAAGCATCCTTGACTTACTCCTGTATTCACTTCACTTCTCGTTGATTTTCTGTTGTGGATCACCTGACACGTGGCAGGCACTGTCATATAGCCAGCTGTTGAATGAGGTTGGTAAAGACTTGGGCACTGCACGCCGTATCGTTGAAGCAGTTTCCAAATTACCTCTCGGTCAACGTTGTCGAAGGCTGTTATGGAGTCACCAAGTATAAATATGACTGATGAGATATAACGGACGATGACGAAAACAACTGGTATCGCTTAGTAGTTAAAATTCCCTGGCCCGAAGAGTGATTTAGAAAACCCACATGTTGACGAATGATACGTATATTATTCCAACAAGGGGAATTAACTGTCACACAAGAGTGTGTTTGAAAAAGCGTCAGTCAATTGTACCGTACAATAGTATAAGGAAAATACTAAGATAAATGAACCAATAAGATGGATAAAGTAGTTTTCCTTACTGCCAACTAACTGGATTCTGATTGGTTGTAATGTCATGTTACAAAGGTCATTCATTGTTATTTAGTTGACTGACAGACTAGATTTTGAGTCATAAATGACTAACGATCAATAGATATATGGCAAAATGTATATCAGACTGGCAAAACAAAGCAGAGGTCATGTAATCTAACTAGAACTTGCTGAAAGTAGTCTAGTGATAGAGCTAATTGTATTCAGTGTGAAATGAAACGTCAAAGACAGTTAAATGATGCAACCAGACTAAACTTTCGAGTAAGAAAAATTCTAATGATCCGTCGTGTCCAATTTTGGGAGATGAACAAAAACTCTGGCAGCACAGAGCTACACGGGAACGCAATATTCTTCAGCACAGCAAGTATTTACTTGAATCAAATCGTAAGTAGGAAGCTTGAATTTCCTGGATGTCTCATATTTATTATTGCCAAATGGTGTCTTGTATGGACTGAAATGCACCATACAAACTGTAGTAGACTACACAGCTAATAGTCCAATATAACAGATGATAACTGAGTACATTCCAGTCAGCAAAACCAGCTTCTGAGACACAAGGTTCTTGTTTGCCTTCTCCACTCCAATGTTGATAACCCAAGTGGATAAAATGACGTGAATATTTTGTAGTGTATATATCTAGCTTCGCAACCTGAAGGAAACAACCTCCTTTACCTACCTAACTGGGAAGCATCGTTTCAACTACAGGCGGAACTGACGAGGATATCAAAGCAAGGATCGGAAAAGCAAGACAAGCTTTCACTGCTCTCAAGTCTGTGTGGAGGTCAACAGCACTCAGCATGAAAATGCAAATAAGATCCGGATTTTCAACTCCAATGTGTAGTAAGTCAGTGCTAATATATGGATCAGAGACTTGGCCAGCGCGTCATAAAGAGCATCTCAAACAAACTACAGACCTTCATCTATCAACAGTTGTCTTCGCCCAATACCACTCAAGATCAAATGGCCGGCGAGAAAAGATCAGCAACAGAGACCTTTGGGAGCGAACCAACACAGCAGGAACCGATTGTGAAACAAATAGGCAGGAAGAAATGGAGATGGATTGGCCATACTCTGAGGAAACAAACCATCAAGTGACATCACTAGACAAGCCATTGCTCGAGTGGAACCCGAAAAGGAAGCGACAAGTTGGTCGTCAGTACGAGGGTGACTTGGAGGAGGTCATGTTGAAGAGGAGATGAAAGAGTGTGGGCAGACTTGGAGCCAGGTGAAGACTCTAGCAGAGAACCGAACGCAATGGAGAGGCACGGCTGAAGCCCTATGTTCCTCTAGGAATTAAAGGAAACAATAATAATAATAGCTAGCTTCATAAAGCCCTTGATTATGATAGAAACGGTTTAAATGTCAACATATACCGAGCTAAATACATTAAGGAAATTGAATACCAGTCTGTCTGGGTTGCTTGGTTCCATGTGAGTTTCACATTTCAGTAAATTAAGTCGAGTAGTTTTACTGTCATAGATATAATAAGATGGAAATATCACCCACTACAGAACGTCGCAAATGCACATCTGCCTGTCTAACCGTACCGTTCACTCTGTTACGTTTGTAAGTAAGTGGTCTAAAAATGTATCTATGATGATCAGATCAATTAAATTTCAAAAAGCCGTATATTTTATACGCCTATATCATGTTTTACAAGTCTGGAACTATACACATTTGATCATAGGGAATAAAAAGACAGTTGCAGCGAAGAAAATTTTCTTTTCGACGAAGTCATCAACAAGGCTGTACATTCCTGTATTTATATCAAATGGATGGGAAAGTTCCAGAATAATTTCCAGTTAAGGGTCAAATTAATAAAAATTACAATTAGGAATTAGAATGCCATAATAAACAGGGGGACGGATAAAACTCGAACAAAGTAGCATTATAATAACTAAGAAGATTGACATATTGTGTAATTGGGGGGTAGAAATGTAGGAATAACAGCAACAGACAGGATGTTTGGATAAAAAACTAATGTGATGAATAACTGTTTATGCAATTAGGGATTAAATATGTAGAAATAGTAAAATAACAAAATTTACAGGAAGTGTGGACATGAAAATATGGTAGTGTAGACAGGGATTAAGAAAAACTTAAAATAACATGAATAAACAGGAAGTTTAGATAAGAAAGGCAATGAGATCGTCATTACTAAAAAAATTACCTGTTAATGATGGCCACGGTAAGGACAAGGGTTGAACGTATTCCTTTTGGATACAAAGTGTCGGTTCGAGATTTTGGATAGCTAGCGCCTCAGCTATGCCCAGATGTCTTGATTTCACTCCCTTTGATTGAATCTTGTATATTACTTTGAAGGATTTTTCGAAAGGCGCTGAATGTCCTGAGTTGACCAGATGTTCTGTCACTTTCCCATCCATTTGATATAAACACACGATACATCCTAGATGATAACTTCGTCGAAAAGAAAATTTTCTTCGCTGCAACTGTTTTTTTATTCTCTAAGTCTGGAACTGCATATTCCCAGTGCATAACAACAATAAAAAAGTCTCAGTTTCTCAAACGGAAACTTTATACTGTCCACAAGAATGTATATCATATCAAACATCGCTTAAGGTGATAACTTCGTAAGTGAGGGTTTAGTGTTGAAAGCAACCTTACACATTCACCAATCATACTGACAGAATGAACCCTTAAACAAGTAAGCTCAACTAAAATGCTAACACTATCAAACGGTTCTGGTGTAATGGAGAACTCAGCGTTGACAATAATAAACATGACTAAAGGAAGGGTAACGCGCCACAGGATCTTTTTTTTTATTCCTTCGCGTTGCCAGTGGAACATACGGCTCAAAGCTAGAGGCTTGAAGTTTCTGTAGCAGTGTTTATTTTTACAGGAAGGGGTTGCTAGCCTCACACCTCCAACCTTCCCTCTTTACTAGCTTTTATTACTGGCTTAGCGGAGTAAAGGAGTGCGTCCGTGGCCGGGGATCGAACCCCGGACCATGTGCATGGTCGGCGAGCATCCTAACCGCTGTGCCACCAACGCACACTACAGGATCTTAGTATTATCAATTTCGAATCAGTTAGCTCCAGTTTCACGAAATAATGTATAGACTTGAGTGAACATTGCAATTTGATGTGTCAAATATATTCATCAAACTTTTCAAAAAGGATACGTGACTGTCCCTTATTACTCAGTGGTTCAAACACCTTTCAAAGATTACCTCTTTATACAAGCACAGTAAAAATGCACAACGATACAGCACTGTAAAGAATGTCAGCAGATGTAGTGATCAGCAATTCTGAGTGAATTTACTTGCACAAACACAACACTCAATGATCAATGCTTAGTAAGTTTGTGGTGAGAGCTGGCTGCCGGCCAAAAATTGTAGACAACGACTGATTTCGATGTTCACGTCCCGAATAAGGATCATGAGAGAAACAACAAGACTTAACCTTGAGAAGATCACCAGCCAATCACAGCGGAGTTAACGTGTAGAAATATGATTCGAAGATATATGAGATAACAGAATAACCTTCATCAAGAAAGCAACCAATCAGAAGAGGATGCTTCTCCGCTAACAATAACGCAAATAATAATGCACATAAAAATCTATAAATACCTCTTGAATTTCTCAATAAACAATTTGTTACCTGGACCTTGTCTTTTATCATTACAATGAAACACTACATATTTTTTATCTTAGAAGGAGACAACCAAGTGTAATAAATGATATTAACAGCTTTCTCCAGACAGAACTAAGTGGAATAATGCTCAAGGTTGGAAAGCGAATAACAGGTTTGAAATCAGTTCCCAGAAAATGTCTTCCTTATTTTACGCTATGAGCCAAACATTTTGTGTGTGCGTGGGAAGTAATGACACTAACCAACTGTTCAGGTTGAATTAGATGAGGTTGGATTCGAATTCTGGACCAACCGACCCATTGAGTGGAAGTTCAATGCTTAACCCAATAAGCCACACACCTCCTACTGAATATATCAACAAACATCCCAAAATCAATAAGTTTAAAGTTGAGCCCTTTTCAACAACCTCCAAACTTCCATCAACAGCCGCCCAATTCGCTAGATAATGAAGATCAAATGCCTTGCCAGAAAAGACAACCAACAATAAATCTTGGGAATGAAACAATCAAGAACCCTATTGACTAAGAAATATGCCAAATGAAATGAAGATGTATTAGACGCACACACATTGAAGAGACCGTTGAGTGAAACATCACGACGCGACAGTGGAAACGTCGCCTTGGCCTTCCAAGGGTAACAGGCAGAAGACCACGTGAATCCATGGACAATCGTGGAGGCATCCAAAAAGGGGACTGCGGAGAACAGGATGAAATCGAGATATCCTGCTGAAGCCCTATATATTTATATGTGTTCCACTCAGAACCACCCACGCGGGAATGATAAATGATAACCATAAAACTAAGAAGCAATCGGATGTCTAGCAGAAATTGTATAACAACATAAGGAAGAAAAATTCGTGTAAAATCCTTTTTATTTTATGTGTAAATAACTGATAAAAAGCCTTTTTTTTAAAAAAAAGAATGCAAAACTATATAAAAAATTTCGATTAAAACGTATTATATAATAATAATATTGATATGATATGTGTGTGTGTGTAATTAAAATGCGGTGTAAAAAAAGGCAGCCTAATAGTCAGTCAGTCGGTCAGTCACAGCCATATCTAAACAGCATAGAAAACAAAACAGCTGAAAGTTAGATGAGAGAAAATTAGGCGAAGGAAACTTAGTACACATTACGAAAAGAAGCAATTTGTACTTTATTCTATACAAAAATGCACTAAGAAACAAAAAAACAAGACATTAGAGAAACCAAAACTATGGCAAAATAAGAAGAAAAGACAGTCAGTTAGCCAGCTAGCCAGTCTTAAAGGTTTTGTTTGATAACACGACGCATTTCCTCAATTAGTCGACGTCGAACACCAGCCCCGGATTGATGAACACAACGTTCAATAAGAGTATACAGTTCGTTAGGCATTTGATAAAGAAAATCTGAACATCCTGTAGTATGAGCTTGACGACTACTATGACTACTGCCGTAGAACAAACTGCTACATATAACCCAAATATTATGATCCGATTGTATATGTGAGCATAAATCATCTGCATGACTAGTGGACAAACATGGAGGTGTCTGGCCTCCAGCATCACCTGATATATATGATGTATTACCTAGACAATTGTGTTGTTTTAATCCGGTTGTTACGAGATTCACAGCATCACTGGGAACACTGTGTTCATTAGTCGTCGACTCAAAGTGTAATTCAGAGAGCTAGAGAAAAGTGTAATCAAAAATTAAAAGAGATAATCCGAACTATAGTGATACGAAAAATTTAACTGTCAATTATATAAATAAATAACCAACAGGAAAATAATCCAAATGAACTGTCGTCAAGATTTGACAGAATAGTTCTAAAATATTTGGGCACCGAGTGAGAAGTAGACATTTGTAAAAAATTATAATTGTAAAATCTCAGCGAGATTGAAATGAGTAATTCCCTGAAGAAGTTCGGACCAGATTGCTGAACGAAACGTTGGGAATTACTCACTTCAATCTCGCTGAGATTTTACAAATATAATCTTTTACAAATGTCTACTTCTCACTCGGCGCCCAAATATTTTAGAACTGTTCTGTCAAATCTTGACGACAGTTCATTTGAATTATTATTTTGCAATCGAATTAAATTAACAAAGAAACTGTGTAATTGGCACAATCATCGTGTTTTCACTCTACGTTGTCTGCCACAGACTAATGCATATCCTAAATCCGTAGCTGTCGAGTCACCTGACAACTCCAGTAGGTCGAATAAAGCAGCTCAATCTTCAGAAAGAAGACAAAGCAATAAGTCCGACAGGGTGCTTCTACTAAACTCTAATCCTAAACACCATAATTTTCAAAATACGTCTAACCATAAAATTCTAGATACTAACAGTTTGAACAGACATGAAGGCGTGATGTTAGCTGATGCATAGGAAATCCTGATTAATAAATAAAAAATGGATATGTATCACTAATTATTAATACTTGGTCAAAATTCTCGACTGTCCATATCTTCTTATGGAGACGTTAAGATATGTTTTACAACTGTTTACCCACACACACACACATACACACTCTGTTTAAAGTGTTTAACAAAGGTAGACCAGTATTTGTAAGTCCGAGGTCAAATTTTGATCAAAGCTCATAAAATTTTGTTTATTATACTTGTTGAATGACTCATGATTAGACAAAGTTTTTAAAAGCAAGTGATGTTCCTTTTATATATAAACCTTTGTGATGTTAATTTCGATTAATTTCCATGAAGAAGTTCGGATCAGATTGCCGAACGAAACGTTGGAATTACTCATTTCAATCTCCCTGAGATTTTACAAATATAATTTCTTACAAATGTCAACAGGGAAATATTTAATAAATTCCAATTTAAAGATATTATGAGGGCATACATAGCTGAGGATGTCCAAGTTAGCCAGCATCGGAAATGCGAATCAGAGCTTCATTAATCTGCGATGATGACGGCGGAAATCTACTTGCATACAGCATAAGGAATAAGATGATATTAGATGGTTGGAGGCAATCGGCAAGAAACTTAGCCTGACCTAGATTTCGTGTTGGTTGCCACTCACCGGTCAGAAAGACATATCTGCAATCTTCAAGGAATTCATGTCCCTTCTGAGATTCGAACACTCGTCACCCAGTGAATGCTGCAGTCAGAGACGTTACCATTGAGTTATTCAGGCTCGCGATTGACCACCTCCTGTAGGACTGCATTGTTTGGTGCAGATTGAATTCTATCAGTCAGCTTTGCAATCTGGCCACCATTCTAGGAGATCAGTCTCGAGCCCGAAAAGCTCAGTGTTAATGTGTCTGACTGCAGCATTCACTGGGTGCCGCTGGTTTGAATCTCAAAAGGGACATGAGTTCCTTGAAGATTGCAGATATTTCTTTCTGACTGATGAGTGGCAACTAGCACAAAAATTAGGTCAAACAAGGAGTCTTGCCGATTGCCTTCAACCATCTAATATCAACTATTCAAAGTGCACCGTGATAGCTAGATACCTAAAATGGTAGCCACATTACAAATCTGACTGATAGAATTCAGTCTGCACCAAACAAAGGACTAGACACATCACACTAGTTACTGGTGTCCAATCAAAATAAGGAATAGGATTCCGATTTTCAACGCTAATATCAAATCGGTGCCTCTATATTGTTTGGGGACTTGGTGGAAGCGTATCACAGAAAGCATTCCCTTCCATCAAGCTTCACAATTTCATCAACAACTGCCTACTTCGCTCCACACTGAGGATCAGATGGTCAGAAAGAATTAGCAACAAGGGATCCTGACAAGCTACTGACCAACCAAGAGGCTATTTATTGCTCAACAAATATGCAGAAAGAAAAGGATACACACTGAGGGGACGGTTGAGTGACACATCACGCATCAGGCACTCGAATGCGACCGAAATGTGAAACGACGACTTGGACGTCTGAGGGTGACATGGAGGAGATGAGAGTTTATGGGCATTCGTGGAAACAGATGAAAGGGACTGCAGAAAACAAGATGAAATGGAGATGTCGTGCTGTTGAATCTCTATGTTCCACTCGGAACCCAAAAGCTCAATAATAATCAGGCATAAAAAAGCCACTACAAATTAACAAATTCATTAGAAGTTTGGTAATAATACCTGTCTAAGTTGGTATACGTAAAACCGTGGTAGAACTCATGGACAGATAATTGGCTTCAGCAGTTCCGGCTGAAATACTGTGAAACCAGAAACTAGTGTAAAACTTTGATTCACCAGTCAAGCATAGCTTACGAAACCCAGTTAGTTAAAAGTTCACCAGGCTGCCCAAAAAGACTCTTCTCATATATCAAGAGAAGAACACGTAAGAGTGATGCTATCCCACCTCTTATGCTTGAAGATGACCAGACAAACATGGCTGAGGATAACTTGACTAAGGCTGAGGCTTTGTCCAAGCACTTTAGTCAAGTATTCTCTGATAATATTGATACCAGCTTTGTAACTTTTCCAGAAGGTAGCTTGAAAATGGCACCCTTATACACTGGAAAGGATACTGTCCTAAAGTGGCTTCTTAGGCTCAATCCTGGTAAGTCCAGTGGCCCTGATGAACTCCATCCACGTATATTTACAGCACTGGCTGTAAACATAGCCGAGCCATTGTTGGTATTCTTCAATATGTCTCTGGACCAGTCCAAATGTCCAAGAGACTGGAAAGATGCCATCATTAGTACGGTCTTCAAAACGGGATCTAGAAACTTAGTTCAGAACTATCTTCCTGTTAGTTTGACCAGTATTGTTGTTAAACTACTAGAAAGAATAATTCGTGATGCTATCATTCAGTTCATTGAATGGAACAAACTCTTTGCTGTGGAACAGCATGGTTTTAGAGCAGGTCATTCTTGCTTGACCAACCTTCTTTTGGCCAGAGAAAGTTGGGCAAGCTCAGCTGATGCTAATATACCGGTGGATGCCATATTCATCGACCTTAGCAAGGCGTTTGACAGGGTTTCTCATTCAGGTCTTCTGGTAAGGTTAGGTAGTCTGGGAATCAATAAAGTGGTTGCCGACTAGATTCAAGACTTTCTAAAGGACAGAAGACAAAGAGTACGAGTTAACGGGGTTTTTATCAACATGGGAATCGGTTAAGAGTGGCGTTCCTCAGGGTACAATTCTTTTCCTGATTTATGCTAATGAGATTCCATCGGTAGTTAAGTCATCCTGCTTACTGTTTGCTGATGATATCGAGATATGGAGGGCTTTACACCATGACAGTGATCAACTTGCTTTGCAGGAAGATTTAAACTTGTTAAGTGATTGGTGTAAGCACTGGGCCTTGGAGATTAACTTAAGCAAGAGTGTAGTTATGCATGTATCTCATAGTCACGTGCACAATTACTCAATGAATGGCATTACTCTCCCAGTGGTCACTGAGTACAAGGACTTGGGAGTGGTTGTGCAGCATGACTTGAAAACAGCAACAAACTGCAGAGCTGATGCCACTAAGGGTTTTCGAATATTATGGGTCATACGCAAAGCTTTTGCGAACTTTGACGCTGATATATTTCGTATATTATATCCGACTTATATCAGACCTCATTCGGAATATGGAATCCAGGCAGCCAGCCCGTGTTTCAAATACGAAATAGACTTATTAGAAAGGGTGCAAAGAGTAGGAACTAAACTAATAAAGGGTTTCTCAAACCTCTCATATGAGGAGAGGTTAAGTCGACTGGGTTTATTTCCACTGTCATACAGACGACTTAGGGGTGACCTAATACTAGCATACCGTATCCTAAGAAATGATTTTGGAGCTAATTTATCTAATTTATTTCTTCCTTCTAGCACCAACCAACTGCGAGGACATCACCTCAAAGTTCAAAAACCACGGTCGAATCGTCTGCGTCTGGAGATCCGTTTTTCGCATAGAATTGTGAACCATTGGAACTCCCTACCGGAACACGTCGTATCAGCGCCATCCGTTGATTCATTCAAGGGGAGATTGGACCTCCTGTGTGTAACAAATCGAAAAGATTAACACAGGCATATAGCCTACTATCCTAAATAAATTGTTAACTGTAAACTGAATGCCTGCAATTATTAATATTATTATTAAGCACTGAAATAGTATTTTTGTCAAGATCTAAAGAAATGTACGTTTTATGATAATGAAAACACCACCACCCAAAAGTGTATTGCTGATTAGTACAGACACTATCGCCAATGATTTTCCTGAGTGCAGTAGACTGGATAATGCGACAAACAGCGGGCAATGAGGAAACAGGCATAAAATGGACTCACACAAAAAACATGGAGGATCTGGACTTCGCCGATGATATGTCTGATTTCCCACAAACTGGAAGATATGCAAGCGAAAAGCAACAAGTTGGCAGATAAAACATCTAGAGAAGAAAGGACTTCAGGTGAACATAGAGAAAACAGAGGTGATGAAGATTCCTAGGCAAGAACAACAACAACAGACAACGATCAGCATAAATGGAAGGAACCTGAAAGAAACAACCCCCTTTACCTACCTGGGAAGCATCGTTTCAACTACAGGCGAACGAAACTGACGAGGATATCAAAGCAAGGATCGGAAAAGCAAGACAAGGTTTCACTACTCTCAAGTCTGTGTGGAGGTCAACAGCACTCAGCATCAAAAATAAGATCCGGATTTTCAACTCCAATGTGAAGTCAGTGCTACTATACGGATCAGAGACTTGGCCAGCGCGTCATAAAGAGCATCTCAAA